CCCCTTCTAGTTGAGTGGCGGGCTTTATACATCTGGGTGACCGAGTAGCCTTCGAAGACCCTCGAGTACTAATATATAGTTTAGCCTAGCCCCGACCCGAGTGTTTGCGGTCCCCCTCTTTTTGGACTTTTTCATATGTTTTTCTTGAAATTTTTGGATAAAAGCACTCGTTGTCCCTTTTTGAGATTTTCCCGTATTTTCTACGTTTTTAATCGATTTGTCGATTCGTCAATTTCCTCACATTTCTCTTGTCGTGAGTCTTTTGACGATCTTTCACGAGATTTTTGGACGATATTTCTTTATTTTTTGTTTATATAAAAGCATTTCAGCTTGCTTCCTCAAGTTTTGTTGGTTGTACCTATTGCATCAATTACACCTAAGGAACAGCGGATCTCCCAGGCTTACAGGTCTGTTTTATGTTTACAACATGTTATTCTCTTATAATCACTTCCCTGCTGTACCTTTTACATTTCTTTACACCGCATGTTGTACTGCTTTTTTTACTGCATACTCTATTATTTGTCTTGTGCTACATACTACTGTTATGCTATACACTGTACAACTTCAACATGTTATCTATAAAATATTTGAAGAACTACAACCATAGGACCGCTGGATTTGACATTATAATCTGACACCCTAGAAAACATTATAACCTGACACCCTAGAAAACATAAACTCGTCACGACAAGAAGCTTGGAACTAGCGCGGTGGGCAGCACGACTATCTTCAAGAGCAAAACATGTCTTCTCCAGCTAAACCATTCATTTCCTAGAAATTAAAACAACAATCCATAGGATTTCGAGGTTGTTCGCATAGCGCAACATAAATCCTCAACATTTTCGTTAGGCATTTGTACAGTTCTACTGCGCAATCTAAGTTCTAACTCGTTTTAGGATTCTGAGGTTCTCGTTCGTTACGACATAAATCTTTCATCTTCCAGGCTATTTGTGTGATCGTTTCACACGAATGTAAGTCCTAAATAGATAAAATTAGAAGAATAAAACACTTGAATATTTTTCCTCGAAACTGAAGCCAAACCATAGGATAGACTGGGAAGTCACTGAGGATCGCCTCAGGATCTGTTTTGTAATAAATGTTCTAAATTTGAGTCATTCCCCTTTCACACATCTTTGTCCGATTTCGTTGAAAAGTCTCATCCTTTTGAAATCCTTGAAGATAATTTTTCCTGATTTTTTTCGAGAGTATTCTTAAGTGACTTCGGTAATTTAAGATGTAATTAACTATAGAGGTTTGCCCTTATAGGATGGTTTTTTCCAAACTCAGCTTAAAATAAACCCTATTTTATTTTTCATATTAAATAAGAGAATTTGTCGGAAAATAAAATGGTTTCGCAGACCAAACAGATGTCATATTTTTCTTAGCTTATTTTATCGAGTCTCACCCTCGAGTCTTGTGTTTATCCTTCGGGATAAGTACAGGATTTGAGGTAAAGCGCTCTTTCAGTTAAACTATGAAAAATATGGGGTCAGTTTGATTTTCATATTTTTTTAACTTAAATTTATATGTAAATTAAAGCGTCCTTCCGAAGCGGACGACGGGATTACAATTCTGGTGACCAACAGCTTCTTACGGGAACTCCCCCAACTTTTTTATCGCCGACAGATCCATAAGTCGCTTTCCTAGTCTACCTCACCTTTCTTCATCCAGGATGGGATTTTTTGTATTTTTTTTTCCTTCCCACTCTCTCCTTTTGTGTAGAAGTTTCTTTTGTCCAATAGGGAACCTATACGTTGTTGTCCTAGGTGTGTAGGAAGTCGGTTCTTGGTGCGTTTAGTTTCAGATCTCCTATGTGGAGTCTCTTTCACCTTTGTGGGCTATATCTAAAGAGATGGTGGGGCTTCAGTTGTATCCTCTCCAAAGTGATAATTATATCCTCCCTTTTCTCTTCCGCAAAACCTTCTCCTACCCACTCTTTAGCAGCCAAACTCTCCCCCTGTCACCCTGAAACCCAGTCATTTCCCATTCCCACAGGTTATTACTATTGCCCGCCTCCTAACTACTTTCAAGCTCCTCCCAACAACAAAATTACCTCTGTCGACCACCTACAACCCTTTCCCATCCGATGTCCCTATAATTTCGCACCATCCTTTCGCTCCCGCCTCCCGCAACTGTCGTCATTCCCCCCAATCATCTTTATCCCTCTAGCCAACCTCCACCACCCATTCGAATACGTTTAGAAGTGTTTGCTTGTGTTATTCCATGTTTTGTATCGTTATTTTCATTTGAGTATGTTGTAACCCTATTTTAATATTAATGAAAGTTTGGTTATTTTCATTTGAGTATGTTGTAACCCGATTTTAATATTAATGAAAGTTTGCTTTGTGTTTTGCCAACTAGTTCCAATATCAACATGGTTCATTACAACCAGAATCTATCATCAATAGTGCAAAAGTTTTAAAGAGGAAAAAGATGAAAATACAGTAAACGGCCTGGAAAGGTTAGTAATATGCTGAAGGGAAAAAAACATTAAAAACGAAATGAGAACACAGTCACGAAAAATTATCCGAATAAGCATACAGTGAACTGATCAGGACGGCGTATCTCTGATGCAAGGAAATGCAACCTCATTAATGTCACGTTCTCATATTCTTTTAATAACACATAGCAAGTCCAAAATGTAAATCCATATGCCATCACCAGGTGGGTCCAAAACCTGCACCAAAATGTAATTTTCATTCAAGCACTAAAACTGAAGAAAGCAGAAAATCAGGTTCCAGAAATTTAAGTATGATGAATCTGCTTAGTTTGATCTTACACATGACTTATACAAACAAGGCTGCTACTCTGAACTGGAAAACTTTAAATTTGCTTTAAGATAGACAAAAAGGAGTATAAAGGTTCCCTAGTTAGGCATGTTACAAAGCAAATGTAAACAGTGGATAGCTTGTCCACTAGATGTTGAGAACTTCTAGTAGAATTTCAGAAGTTTCCTATGTTTAAAATTGCATAATAACTAGATCTGCAGTTAGTGCATAACATCATGAGAGATAATTTCACAACGCGATTCATGACGGATCAAACAACACAAATAAGGGATCAGAGTTGCACAACCGAAGAATAGTTACAGGTAATCATTTGATACTTAGATTATGGCTTATTGTTCATATAATATGAATGCCTCTCTCACGGATTGCCAGCAAATCATCGACAACCAAGAAAGAAGCATTATGGCCAACTAAAAGAGGTTAAGATTCAACAAAATATTTAGTTGCCAAAATTTTTTTAGTATTGCAAAAGATATACATGTGAAAATCACGTTTGACATTACAATTCAAATATCTGTTCTTGATGTATCAATCCAACATCGAAGAGAAACCAAATTCTTAGCATAGTTTTAAATAGCAAGGAATACGCAGAATGGAAACTGTTAAACAAAAGGACCTGCTTGTCGGCTGTTACTTTTTAAAAAATTTTAAGAACTTGGTTTTATGATTTTTTAAAAAAGAGAGATGAGTTTTATAAATAACAAAATAGTTTTGATGTAAATATAATTTTTGAAAGTAACATTTTAATTTAAAAAAAAATCAGACCACGCGACTCTCGCATTTTAGATAGTTTGGATGACTAAGCACGATACCACGAGTAATATACTTATCCCGAAAAATAAACATATCACTTGTAGTTGGCTCAATCACCTAAACTAAAGAATTTATGACATTCGTTTGGTCTGCGAAATATTTTATATGAGGCCAACAAGTTTCCCTACCTAATATAAAGATTAGATATGGTTTATTTTACTTGGGTTCCAAGTTTCCTATAGAGGCAAACCCCTATAATTAATTACATCTTAAATGACCGGGGTCACTTAAAAAAACTCTCGATTAAGATCAGTGGTTTTACCTTCCAGATTTCAAAGTTTAGGTTTCCAAGATTGGACAAGGGAAAATCAAATAGGAGTGGCTTAAACAGAAACAATTATTTTAAGGAATCCAAAGGAGCGAAGAATAGGGGATATCACGGATCCGAGGAAAACCCCGATGACCTCCCAATTATCCTATTGTTTGGCTTTATATTTTTTAAATAATGTTCTTTAATGTTTAATTATGTAATTTATTTAGAATTTAAGACTTATATTCGCACGATATTTGATCGTACAAATAGCCTAAAAAAATAAGAGAATTTACACTATACCATACAGTAACCTCTGAATCCTAAATTGTTAGGACATATAATTGCACAACAGGGTTGTGCAAAAGCCTAAAGGTGATATATGAGGGTTTATGTTGCACTAGGCAAACCACCTCTAAATTCTATGAATTGTTATTTAAACTAAGGAAAGTGTTCGGAGATGTGAATGTGTTTTGATATTGCAGATCCATCTTGAAGTGGCTCCTCCGTATGTCCTCGTCATGCTGCCTACGATGTTCGATCCAAGTTCTTCCTCGAAGCAACTTCATGCTTGTTATTAATTATATGCAACCACTAGGTTTTCTTATACTAAGGCATAGTGTGTATCAAAGTAATAAAACATGCGGTATAAAATAAGAGAACAATATAATATGCTAGGAGAACAGTATAACATGCTGTGAAATAAAATGTTGTAATGTAAATCAAACTTGTATATTTGGGAGACCTGCTGCTCTTTTAAGCTAGCTATTATTCACTGTATAAACAAGAGAAAACATTGCCTGGAAAACTCGAGAAAATCGACAAATAATCCACGAAGGAAAAATTCGTCAATACGAAGGAAAAATTCGAGAAAATTGACGAGTAACTATTCAAATAAAACAATCAAAACCTCGGGAAAATCCCGGAGAAAAGACGAGCGTTTTGTCCAAAAATTCTGATAAAACATACGAAAAATCTGAAAAGAGGGGACCGCAAGCACTTGGATCGTGGCTAGATTCAAATATATATATTTGTACTCGAGGGACATCGAATGCTACTATCGGTCACTCAGATGTATAAAGTCTGTCACTCCACTAGAAAGATATCTTACTTAACCTAACTTAGGATTGTACTCCTTAGCCCAGTATCGATAATCAACAAAAAGACAATTAAGTTGTAGCTTATTTAAAATTTAAATTTTAGCATGCACATATATTTCATGAGAGGAGGAATTGATTCACCCAAAAGACCGAAAGGATAAAGAATGAAGCAACCCTCAAAACTATGACAAGAAGATCTGGGCATACAAAAAAAAAATTGTATTTCATTTTGTAATGAAAATATTTTTTATAAATATTGTATATGTTCTTATCAATTTGTTTTATAAATTTTTATATCAATTTTTAAAAAAAAATATTGTTGTCTACGAGTCGATCAAAAAAAAAAAAAAAACTTCGTCGGGCATAAGACAGCCAAAAACCTAAGAAGATACGGGTCCCCAGCTAGTCTTGTGTCAGTGAATGATACTTTCATCCTACAGTTCATCAGGTCGTAGAATTGACTCCTACTGTTGTAGGATGAGATATTATTCTGCTCTACCACCGGCGTGCCTTTGTCATCATCGCCCTAAGCCCCAAAATAAAACCGACCTACTTGCGACCTTGGAGGAAAAAAAGAATAAAAATTGGGATGTGAGAGGAGGAATTGATTCGCCCAAAAGACCGAAAGGATAAAAGATGAAGCAACCCTCAAAACTATGACAAGAAGATCTGAAAAGAGAACCCAAGATCCTTGAATCAATCCAGAGGATATCATTTTCTCAAATTTTATAAGTGGATCAACCCAAGAAGGGTATCCTTTTCAAATGGCAATTTTATGAATTTTCAAACCCTTCATGAATCCAATTTGCATCAACCTTAAGTTTCCTCCAAATGAAATTGTACAAGCCCTTTGCATTTCACAAAAGAAGGGACATTAATCAATAGAAGAAGTAACTCTCTAGCCTTCCAGAAAATCACACCGATGTCAAAATCATTTAATTCCATCCTTTCCATTCTTCATTGAAATCATTGAAATCTTTCCACAATTGTATAAATAAAACATCAATTTAGAAAATCCAGAGTGCTCATGGCCGGAGCAAAATGAAACTAAACAATCCTCAACAAGCTCACGGGTAACAACAGGAGGGAGAGTAGGGCTTACGGGTAAGACCAGGTAAGAGAACAGGGCTCACGAGTAAGGCCAGGAAAGAAGGCAGTCAAGCCTCATAGCAAGCCCACAAGTAGAAATTGTGAAATGCACAACCAAACTTCAACATAAGTCCACACTTTAAAACAAGAAATAGGGCAAAAGCTTATAGGTAGGACTTATATGTAGGGGCAGCAAAGAGAAAGCCAAGCCTGAACCATGTCACAAAACCAAAGAACCATTTTAAAACAAAGAACCACTACAGTAAGGCTTACAGCCAGGGGCAATGAGGAGAGAAAAAGCCCAAAAAATAACCATATTAATCATAAAAGAGCTGCAGGTGGAGGCTCATGGTCAGGGGGGCGGCAGAAAAATAGCCCAACAGGACAATAAGATGCTCACAGCAGGGACCACAAAGAGAGCAGTACAACCCCAAAATTAAATTCATGGGCAGGGACAATGAAAGAAAGCCACCATAGGAATTGCTATTTTGATATACATAAAAAAGTGAATGGACAAGCTCTTATAAATCATTATGACTGAAATCATTTTCATCACAAAAGGCATGATAGTGAGTTAATCTACTTATATCAAACATCCCCACATAGAGATAGATATTGAAATTCATGAATTTTGGGATGACAAACTTGATTACCCATAAAAATATCAAAAGGAACATCATATCAGGAATTTCCAACCCAACCGAGCCCATTAAAGGGGCAAGACAGGAAACCGTAGCTAGTAAACCCCAGCCCAGCACAAGAGACAAACCAAGTCCAGCACAGGAGTGAAACCGAGCCCACCAAAGGGCTAAAACAGCAAGAGATTTCAACCAAGACATGATACCAAAAGGAGCTAAACCGAGCCCATTAAATGGGTCAAAAATAATATAAAACTTTCAGTTAACTCCAACCTAGAAGAAGCCAAAACCGAGCCCACTAAAAGGGCCAAAACAGAGAAAATTTTCATAAATAATTCCCACCTAACATGGCCAAAATCGCACCCAACATATGGGCAAACCGAGCCCACATAGAGGCAAACCAGAAACAAAAATTTCAGCAAGGATCCAAATCCAAAGAGCCAAAATCAACCCTAACAAATGGGTTAAAACAACTGAAAAAATTTCTCCTTGGAGTCTCATATTTTAAAGTATTGTGCCAACATATGTTTGAAATAGGAACAAATAACAGGAAACATATAAGTATGCATGAATCTTTAGAGCCAACATGTTATCTAGCTTTGAAATGATTTCCAGCATAAAGATTCCTTCCAACATGCTTTCAAATAAGGGCACCAACAATTATTCCATCAGCATGTATTTCAAATAAGTAAATGGCAACACAAGAAATCTGAAAAATTAAATTTTCACCCAACATGCAATTTGAACAAAGAAGATAGCCACAGGGAGCCAAAACTAAGCCCCAAACTGATAATAAATTTAAACTTTTCTTTTCTCAAATAATTTCATTGTGCAAGCTTCCCAAGCATCCTTCACATTTTTCAGAAAATGTATTTTTAATTTATGCATTTCATTCATATGTTCCAGCTTCCCAATTCCATAACCATTCTCATTTTTAACATTAAACTTAATCAATTCTTAAAGCAACCTTAATTTCCCAATTCCAGGTGCATTAGAAA